AAAAGGGGGGGGGGGGGATTTTAGAAACACCTATCAACATGATAGAAGAGACCATATGAAGCCATACAATATCGCAAACCTTACTACTATTTAACCCATCTCCACACCCTTCATTCCTTTACCCTTCCTTCTCTCTTTAAATATAATAGCCAACAACAGAAACCCAATCCTCACAAGCTGCACACCTTGCTTGGGTGCTCCTCCTGATATTGGCTTCTAAGGAGTACAATATATCAAATCTTCAGCCAAAGGTATCAAGTTTTCCTTTCTTCGTTGAAGGGAAGTTTGGACAAAAGCTTCATCGCCTATGTCATTATTGTGTGTCTGCTGCTGCTGCTGCTGCTGCTATCCTGTTGCCTATTATTATAATCTTGGGAACTTTTCCCAACGCCTTCATAGCCTCCTTCACCAACAAGAAGGTTCTTCTCTTCCTTCGACAGATACTTGTCGACCTGAGCAGCTGCTTGCCGTCCTTCAGAGATGGCCCAAACCACGAGGGACTGGCCCCGACGGCAGTCTCCGGCTGCAAAGATTCCGTCTACACTAGTTGAGAAGCGGCCATACTCGGCCTTGAAGTTGGACCTATTATCTTTCTCCACGCCCAGCTTCTCTGCAACTGTCTGTAAAATGCAAAGAAACAAAAGCACACGTTAACATCAAGCTAGTGTTGTAGAGTATCCTTCAGCTAGGATTAGAGTGGTCTCAAACACCCTAATCTTTTACTTCTCACATTCAACCCTCGGTTAACAACAAGTCATATCTGACTAGTGCAAGTTTTGAATGAAACTACTAACCGATTCAGGCCCGAGGAACCCCATCGCCAGTAAAACAAGATCAGCCTCTATTATTTCCTCGCTGCCTTCCACCTCCTTAAACTGGAACCTTCCATTGGCATCCTTCTCCCACTGAACACGTATTACTTCAAGTCCCTTCACTACCCCATTCTCATCTCCAATAAACCGCTTAGTCAAAACCTCGTAAGATCTTGGATCTTTTCCGAATTTGGTAGCTGCTTCCTGGTGTCCATAATCAACTCGGAATATTCTAGGCCACTGCAATCCCACAAATGGTGAACTCATAAATATGTAACCCATCAGCCAAAGTAAAGTAACGATGCATTATCCAGTGCATAGCAGGGTGACAGGTAAAGCGTTTTCCAAAATGCCAAATAGGAGACCAAAGAAGAAAGAAGGCAAACCTGTGGCCAAGGGTTTCCTGGAGCCCTGGTCTGTGGCGGCTGAGGAAGAAGCTCTAGGTTTACAACACTACTGCAACCGTGCCTTATAGAGGTTCCAATGCAATCTGTTCCAGTGTCACCACCACCAATGACAACAACCTTCTTGTCTTTTGCAGAAATGTATTTGCCGTCTTGAAGATTGCTATCAAGCAAGCTCTTTGTGTTCGAATGAAGGAATTCCATGGCAAAATGGACTCCAGAAAGCTCCCGTCCAGGTACAGGAAGGTCCCTGAAACAAACATTACTCGCCTATTTTCAATGAATTCTTAAAAACGATTGGAGCTGTGCACCAAAATTCTTTGGATAGAAACTTGAAGAGAATTACCTTGGTTTTGTGGCACCAACAGCCAAAACGAGCGCATCATTTTCATCTTGAAGACGATCAAGAGAATATGATGGATCAGTTCCAACATTAGCATTAACAACAAAATTTACACCTTCCTCTGCCATAAGGTTAACACGCCGCTGAACTACATCCACTTTGTCAGTCTTCATATTCGGAACTCCATACATCATAAGTCCTCCAATTCTGTCAGCCCGTTCATACACAGTCACCGTGTGTCCCATTTTATTTAGCTGGTCTGCTGCAGCCAAGCCAGCTGGTCCACTCCCAATAATAGCAACTCTTTTCCTGCATTAATTAACAAATTCTATGAGAACTAAACATAGAACAAAATGACACTTTTAATGAAGTCTTTTTAATATTAAAATAGTACTATTAAACAATAAAATTGAACTATTCACCAAGTAACATACAGAAAGAATGACAGAAACAACAGCATACCCGGATCTTGTAAGAGGAGGCCGTGGAGTCATCCATCCCTCTTCAAAGGCCTTGTCTATGATGGCACATTCAATGCTTTTGATGGACACAGGATTCTCAATAATGCCCAGAACACAAGATCCTTCGCATGGGGCAGGGCAGACCCGGCCAGTAAACTCTGGGAAATTGTTTGTCTCAAGAAGCCTCTCTAAGGCTTCACGCCACCTATTCTGATAAACTAACTCATTGAATTCAGGAATTTTATTACCAAGAGGGCATCCAGAGCTCTCCTGAAATTATAAAAAATAACAATCAGGGTCAGGAAAAAAAAATTTAATTCTTGTATAATAAGATACAAGCATATTGAAAAATCTCAGTAAAAGAAATTACAGTAAAGACCATCACCTGATGGCAAAATGGGGTACCACAATCCATGCATCGAGCTGACTGAGTCTTTAATAGCGGCCCAGGTTTTGATTCTTCCATAACCTCCTTCCAATCTCCCATTCGAACATTAGGATCCCTGTACTTAACTCCTTCACGCTCATAAGCAATAAAACCTCGATGTTTAACAGCATCAAGTGTCTCAGTAGGTCTCTTTGGCGGTTCCGTCTTTTCAACCTTTGGATCCAACTTTAAGTCAGACCAGTACAGAGCAAGGAAATCAAATTTAACATCAATCAAGATAAGATGACCCCCAAAATGGAAACTAGTGAAAAAAGGCCAACTATACTTTTAGAGTGAACGGGTCTATTGGAACTCAAAATTTACCTGTTTGGAATCCCCATTCAAGGAGGCAGCAGCCATTTTCTTGAGCTCCTCAAATGCATCCTTTTCAACTAACTCTGCCTCATCTGACTCCTCCTCAACATCTTTAGCAGCTGGTTCTGAAACCTCTTTGGTAGCTCCTTGAGCTTTCATGTTTGCAAGAACACGCTTATATTCCCTTGGGAAGACCTTAATAAATCTAGGCAATAGGTTCTCAAAGTTGTCGAGGACTTCTTTGGCTAAATTGCTGGATGTGTGACGCTGATGCTGCTGTATCATCATTTTTAGGGCCACAATATCATCCTCCTCTTCAACTTTGTCAAGATCTACAAGCTCAAGATTGCATCGGGATTCAAACTTTCCATCCATGTCAAGGACATAAGCAATACCTCCACTCATACCAGCAGCAAAATTTCTTCCAGTTTTCCCAAGAACAACAACAGTGCCACCAGTCATATATTCACATCCATGATCACCAACACCCTCCACAACCGCCTTTGCCCCTGAATTACGTACACAAAACCTTTCTGCTGCCATCCCATTGAAATAGGCCTCACCACTTGTAGCACCATAAAGAGCCACATTACCTATGATTATGTTCTCTTTAGGATCAAATAAACTCCTCCTTGGAGGGTAAACAACAATTTTTCCACCTGATAATCCTTTGCCAACATAATCATTGCTGTCACCCTCCAACTCTAGCGTTA